GAATAAAAAAAACTTGAAATAAAGCATTATCTACAAAATTAATTTTATTCTTAAATATACTTAAGTATATATTTTTTATTCAATTTTCAATCATTTATATAAATTTTACCTTGATTTACTGGTATTTGTTTGAAAGTGGTTAAGCAAATTACTAAACGCTGGTAAACTGATATCAAACTTTCTTCTGTACGTAGATTTTGTATATCCGATACCAGCAATCATTGCATGTCCTATGGTTTCATCTATAACTTTATCGTAATTCTTCACATTTTCGTGCATGAGATTAAATATTAAATGATTTTTCCCCTTTTCTAAACTATAATAACACACACACACACATATATAAATATATATATATATATATATATACATATTATAAATGGTTCAATATTTTAATTTAAATATATTATATTATTTTTATATTATATTGCTACAAAGGGGTTACATAAACCGTAAACTTTTGTAAAATAACATTAAAATTGTAAATTTCTTTTAATAAACATTAATATATGATTTATTGTTGAATTTACGTTTATAAATTCATTTGGATTTAGAACAAATTAATTATCCATAAACATGATAAATATTTACAGGAAAAATAACTTATTTACAGATTATTTTAAAGTCATATAAATCAACTAATAAAAAAAAAATAAATTTAAATTTGTTGTATAATTAATATAGTTTAGATATTTTTCAGAATATTTATGATTAAATCAAAATCTTTATAATTGCAAAATACATCCATATTTGAAAAATCATTGTTTTACTTTGTATAGTTTGTATTAGTTATATTTGAGTGATTGAGTGAGTAGCTCCTGAGTGACTTTAAATATCCACGTGGCAGCTTAGTTATCTGGCAACAATGGATAGGTGTTAGGAGCGGAGACTAAATAAACATTGCAGGACGTTCGAGAATAAAGCTTTAAAAGTTTAGTGAATTCAGAGAATCATAATGTTTACAAAATTCGAGAACTAGAAGGCTTATGAATTTTCGAGAGCCTTGAAAAATGCTACAATTCCGAACACATATCTAAACATAATAGCTTAAGTTTCTTTTGGTTTTATTTAATGATGATGCATTTTCAAATTATCATAGTCAATCGTTTCAAGGCTTTTCTCGTGATCCACGATTAACAAACTTTGCTTGTAAGTATAACATCTAATAGTATTAGAGTACACCTTTCTTGTGGAAATTATATTCAGTCTTCACACAATCTTGTAGATCTCATTTTTCTTTAAAGTTTGAGAGAACATAATTATCAACAGAAGTGCAAAAGAAACCAATATACTAAAGTATTTGCTCATTTTATAGTTTTTACTTTTTGTCCTTGTCTCCCCGATGATTAGACCATACCGACCATTTTACTCGTGGCAATGTATGAAAAAGTGAGAGGCTAATGCTTCAAATCTGTAATCAACACAATTGATTTTCGTGACATTTATTAAGTTTTGACTTGTAAATATATCAATATGATTCTACGTTGGTAGTGAGAATCGTTGAGACCGTACCGCTCCTTGTTGGTATTTTGCGTAGAATTAGTGTGCACTGCAAGTCGAGGTTGGAGGTTGTAAATCTGCAGGTCCTCTTGTTGTAGTGCGCTTGGTAGAAATTGCTACACTGAGAAGTGCAAGGACGTAAATCCTTGACACTTCTTGTATAGAGCGACGTATGGTACTTTACGTACGAGTCTCCTCTTGATAATAATATATTGATTTATTACCTCAGCGGACTTTTAGCAGTATTGTGGCATTTTTAGAGAAGCAGTGGCCATTGTCTCCTCAATTCGGAGTACAGCACCGATTATAATGACATCTACCGAAGGTGCAGTGCCTCATCCAGCGATCAGTATCTGAAATCAGAGGTCTTACATAAGGCGCAGCGCCTTGTGCAGAGAGTGTAGTGGCACTTTGCAGTTAGCGCGTGACTTAACTAATTCTGTTATGAGTACGTTGGTGGTACGCTTCTTATTTAATATTCATTCTTCTAATGCAATCAGCATTCTTGACTGCTTAACTATGGCGCACTTAAATGGTTATAAATTATTATGGCTTCACTGTTGGCCGACTAGCTTATTATTACAGTCTAGTATATTTTGTAAATCTGATTGACTGGTATAAGGCGGAGTTTAGTTGCTGTATAGAGTGATAACTGATAACTGATTGATTGAGAAATCTACAGTGAGCTTACAAGCCTGTTGAATAGGCGCACGAAACTGAAGGCTTAGTCGTTCCGTCGCGGCTATTCCATGGCGGTCCTGATAAGGGAGACCGTGATTCGTGCCATAGCATCTTCACAGAGAGAATTTCACTAAGAGAGCGAACTTGTCGCGTCCGACCTTTATATATGCGCATGGCGATTACTTAAGAATTAAGTATTTTTTAAGCAGAATTGTAGGGAAGCAAGCTTTAGACGGTTGCAGAATTCTACCGTAGTTGCTATGCGGTGACTAGATCAACATTACAAGACGTTTGCAAGCAAAGGCTATAAAATGATCGAGAAATTTCTGAGTATTAAATATCTTGTAAAGTGCTCCAATTCTGAACAATAGGTAATAGTATTTAGTTAGCTTCTATTTAATATTTACTTGTTTTAGTTTTATATATTGATTATTTACAAACTATTTCTTTTATTGCAATTGTCATTATGCTGAGATTATGTCACTCCAATCTTTTATTATAAGACGAATTTTTTGAAGAATCATTTTGGAGGAAGAAATATCTTTTCAATGACTACTATATTATATCATTTAAAAAGTGAATTATTTCCAAAATCACTAACACATTAATTAAAAGTTAAGACATTTTAAATTGTAACTCTTTCTAGATGGATATGAAATAAATTACAATATTAAGATACACCCTATCAATCGCTAAAAAACTTTTTATTAATTTTAGAATTCAATGTACTTATCAATTTACCTTTTATGTTTATGCCATGTTAATTTTAAGTATTAATTTAACATAAAGAAATTGGTTTCAGTTCCTAACTTCCTCTTTTATCTACTTTAATTTTTTTATCAGTATATGCGACTATGCAGAGAAAAACTATGAGAGAATGACTATGACTATGAGAGAAAAACAAATAGGAATATGTAAAACGTATTCAAACAAAATTTTTTATCTAAACTTTTATATAAAGAGAATACCCATGAAATTACTCATGACAGCCAATATTATAGGATTTCTTTAATAATAGTGCCGAATTATATTCAGTGTTTATATTATTTATGAATATCATAATTTTTTTATTAAAAGATAATTTTAACTATTAACTATATATTTGTTGAATAGAATTAGATTGAATAATTAAAAAAATCTATATTTTAATAATCTATGAAAATATTATAACACTTTTATAAGATATTTTGAAAAACAATATTTAAAAAATGTATTTTATTTAAAACTGCTACCAACTAAAATTTCATAATCTAATAAAAATTGTATAAATAATTAAATCATATGACATTCAATGCTTTCAAAGTCTTGAGCTGTAACACTTTTCAATATTATTTGTTTGAAATGTATTTAATTGTTTTTTAATTATTAATAAATAGAAATACTTCTCTAAAAATATGTAATGAAAAAGTATTCATTACAATATATGTTTAATCTAGTCTAAATAATTTCAAGAACAATGATTATATCATGTTTTAATTGAATAAATATAAAAAAATATTCACAAAAATTATCAACAGAAGATAATGATTTATTTTAAATTGTTTTTAAAAATATATCTCTAATGTATGTTTGAAAATAAAGAGATATAAAAATTAACATCGTTCTAATTTTAGTTTTATCGTAAAAAATTAATAAAAGAATACTTTAATAAATGAGCAAACTAAAGATTAATATTCATGACGAATAGGCAAATAATATACAGTATATAAAAATTTTAACATTTAACAATCAGACAAATTCTAATAATTTTGGAAAAAATAAATATAAAATATAAAAACTGTGTCAAAAAAATTTTTAAGCAAGTGAGATACAACAATCTACCAATTATGTTCAGTGATAGGTATAAAATTTATAACCAATGAAAAATAATAGATAATTATAAAGTAGATCATAAAATAAGAATTAATTAAATTAATTTAACAAGTCATGAAAATTATAAGTTATGAATATGGAGAAGGATGGGATGTAAAAAAGAAATACAATAGAAGTTAAAAGAGATAGTTCAGGGAACAAAGGATGACTGATGTAGAATATGTAAAGTACAAATAAAGTCTAATTAAATCACTAACTGATAATTAAAACAAAGTGAGGCTCCAATGTAACTTTGTTCTTATTTAGAGCCTTATTTTTAATTTTGCTAATCTTATAATAGCAGACACACATAATAAATAGTAATCAAATAAAATTCAAATTTTTAAATATCACAATTCGATTAATTTCTTATATGTATTTAATGAGACCACATACTTTTATGTATTAATATTAATATTAAATATTACAAAATCTACAAAATGCTTTGCATATAGTTTTGCATAATATTTCTATTAATATTAAATGAAAGTAATTATATTCATAAATAAATTTCCAATGTATTTGATAATTAATTTAAAAATACATAAAATCATAAAAAATTCTAAGTATAAAAAATTAAAAAAGATAGTATTAATTTCTTTATAAATATAAATAACTTAGATTCTTATTAAAATTTATAAATTTAAACAAATTTAATAATTTATAAACATGCCTAAATTAAACTTATAAATACATAATCTTCTTTTATGTATACATATGTTAATGCTGATAAACGATATATTAATTGCATTTAATTATAAAAATTTGATGTATAATATACTATATTCGATATACATTTAACCTTATTTATTTAGTTTTATATATCTATAATAATAATTGTTTTTTTTTATTTTATTTTAAACCAAATGCAAATAATGTATTATTTAAATTATATATTTAATTATTATAAAAACTAATTTTGTTTAAAAAATTTTTTGAAATTAAAGAAATATATATAATAAACTTACAATTTAAGTACTTTTATAATATGTGATACATATACATGTCCTCCATATGGATGAAACATATCAATTGAAGGCACAAATATGCATGCTTCGTCAGGATTTGATGTATAATATTTACTATCAATAATTGCATTCAAAATAGAATGAAATTCTTTAGTTAAATAATTAATTTCAGTTATATCGGTATTGACCTGATGCTTTTGTGGATAAACATAAACTAATAATTTATTACCTTTATGTCCACAACAATATACATTAAAACAGGAAAAAAAATTGCATGATGGATTAATTATATTTACATTATTGTTTATAAGTGTATGAGATAAGTTGAAATTCTTGGTTAAGTATGTATCATCAAAGTTAAGAGCTTGATTTAATGTATTAATAAATAAAAAATATATAGTAATTGATAAACTTATTAATGCAAATAATAATAATACAAAAATATGATTAATAATATATAAGCGATGCAGTTTCATTTTTTGTAAATTTTCTATAATAAAATTTTTTTTAAATATTCATAAACTAATCAAATATAAATAAACAAAAAATTCTTTAATTGGCATTGTTTACTATTATCAAATTTCTACAATTAATGGTTAATCTATAACTGATTTAGCCAACTAAAATATAAATGTAATATAAATGTCAATCGGATATATTCACTTTATTTTGTACAATCTGATTTTATTTTTAATATAATTTGTCACAATTTCAGTTTTGTCAAGCAATACAAATTAAAAGAACGAAGTACGATCTCGGTTGCATGTGCAATAAACAGTAATATATTATCGATGTATATATATAATATATATATATATATATATATATCGAACTATCCTCTCGAAGGAGTAATGTAGGTCTCATTTCATTGGCTGTCACAAATGAATGATACATCTGTAAATTGTATGATACATAATCTACCCGATATAACAATATATTTGTATAATAACCTTAGTCCTTAGATTTAGAAAATAGATATCTATGCAAGATAAAAGAAAGTATATATGTAAGTCATGCGCAATGAAAATCTAAGCTGATTTAATTATTATAATTATGTACTCAATATGTTTACTCAATGTAGACGACTCAGTACGACGACAATGTTTTATATCGTATATTATATTTAAAAAATATAATGCATTATTTTTCTAGGTAATAGAATACCGCATACTTTAGTAATGTAAAATATATAAAACATATATGGAAAATCCATATCGTAAAAAATTGGATAATAATCCCATTACAATTTTATAAAATCATTAATAAAATATTTTCATAATATTTAATTAAATCAAACGGTTATATTATCACTTATAAATTAAAAATTTAAGAAATATATTAATTATTAAAATTTACGGTAAATTTTTGAATTTACATTTCATGACTGTAGAATAGTTAAAGCAGACTCGATATCAAGGTTTTTACAGTAGTTTATATTAATTCTGTTTCAAACCATAAAACTCTACCCAATTTTGATCAGAATTTATATAAATTACCCTTCATTTGTATTCAATTCGAGATAAATTTCTCTTTATAATCAAATAATTCCTTATATAAATTTAAACTTTATAACTGTTCTTATTCAAATATTTTTTAATTATAACATTTTTGCAAAGTTTGTATTGTCTTGCGATTACATTTACTTTCAAGGATACAATCAATAATTTGTGCCATTACATATTTTTTTGTTTTTTAATTTATATTTTGTAAAATAGTTTAAATTCTTTCTGTTAGCTAAATGCATATTTTTACTACTATTTGAAAAAACATTAATTATTCTGATCAGATTCTGAGTTTACAGTAGCAAATCACGGGAATGAAAAATAATAATAAAAAGTTTAATTATATAATAAAAAATAACTGAATTAAATTGAATAGTGCAAATAGAACAGAAATTAAAATTAAATTATTTAGCACCTTTGAAAGTTATTTAAATGATATAAAAAATTTATGTGATGGCTTTTTTAAAAATATTAATAATAAAATATATTAATACAATAAATTATTTAAGAAATTTTTAATTATATTACCAAGATAAAAATGTACATGTAAAATAATTTTTTCTTCCTTTAAACTTGACAGGTAAATAAGGTAATAAAGTTAATATAGATTAACACTAAATTTCTGTCGCTGGTTATAGAATTAATTTTCTGTTGTAAAAACATTGTAAAAACCACTCTAGTTACATTAGTATTTTAAGAAAAATAAATTCTTTTAAAAAACATTTGTGTATTTTAGTTCAATAAATAATAATTACAATTATATTAAAAATATAAATTGGCATTGTTTATATAATTTAAGATAACCGATAGGCAAAGTATATACATTTATACTGTACAAAATGTATCCGACATTCCGGCTCGCTTCAGCAAGGTGTATCAATCTAGGTCGAAGGATCAAATTATTTAGAATTAACTAAAGAACCACGAGATTTTATGTGGGAAAAATGCGTAGGCAAGTGAAAGGGTTAGTGTATTGATTGAATATTTAATACGTCTGTGTCTTATGAAGTCAGTATGAACTCTTGCAGATTTTTGGCAGGTGATGCTGGTGTGCAATTTGATGGAAGAAGAAGATTCAGATTCCTAGTAATATGCCGCCCTTGATGGTAGGTTACCCTGAGAACGGAGAGGTTGTAAAGCTCTTACCACTTCTTTGAGTAATACCACGTGGTGAATTTGCTACTGCTTCGTGCGTTTTGATAGAAGCGGCTTCTGTTAAAGGTTATACTCGACACGTTATGAAACTGAAGGGGCAACGCACGCTTCTTGCATCGCGCGAGCTAAGTTCTCGTTGTAGTCGGGTGGTTGCTGGAGATACCGTGTGACCTGGTGGCACTGAGCTTTCTATTAAGATTATTAACGAAGACTTTCTTCGGACTCAGCTTATGAATTTTCTTTCTGTTTCTTCTTGAGAACGTCAACGTGAGTTGTAGTTAGATCGTTAAGGTGTATGCTGAATGGCACGAAGATGGACTTCGTGCTCGTGGAGCATGAACGAGTTCTCCTTGAACACGGTCTGTGACATTAGTCAGGATAATTTTGTGTTTACCTGAGAAAAGTCCTTGATCCTTAAAGTATGCCCAGTGACCTGGCTCCTGGAGAGACCTTGGGTAGAAGGTAGCGGCTATAGCGTCGTGAGTTGACGAGATTACAAACGAAGACATGGTTTCGGACTCAACTGAGGGGACTTCCTCCTTTCCTGGTGACTTCAACATGAGTGTTTGAATGTTGTGTTTGCTCCCCTTAAATAGTTCACTTATCCTGGTGTCCACTCGGGATCCCTTCCCTTTTTTTTGTATCCAATCAGAAAGCTTTCCGTTAATGGGCGAGAGCAGCTCCATTCGCGGCACATCCTTTAATCACGAAACTCAGTCTTCTCTTGGACTTCGTGTCAAGAAGGGCTCTCGATCTCATCACCCTCGATGCCTCTGGCGGTCGTATGACAGACTTGAAAGCAAGGTGCGGAGGGACCAATGCATGCCGGTGGATCATAACGTTTGGATGGGGGTTGGACAACAATCTCAAGAAAACCCAAACATCTGAGTTTTCCAGATTGTTCGGAAAATAATCCCACAATTTGACTAGTCAGCCAAACGTGCAATAATTAACGTAGAACAATAAAACCCACTAGATGTTATGTGGGGTTGCCGGGCAAGTAAAGGGTGAATGCACTGATTAATAATTAACACATGTCTTTATTATTTCTATTTATTTGAATTGATTTACAAAAGGGTGAATTACAGACGAACTTTATATTTCTTCATAATCTTGTGGTGTTGAAATATATTTACTATGAATGAAGCAGGTTATAATCTATTGAATATTATCGCTAAGAGGTTATCATGATTGTAGTGCTCTGATCGAACACTGGAATGCTATTGTGTTTATCTTAATACGTGTGTAGTTGCCTTTAAATATCGGTCGTAAGAGAGCCGAGATGGAGGTTATGCGAAGCTGTGCGCCATCTGTGGCGGGAACAACTTGCAGTTGGAGGGATTGAGAAGCCAATGTGGCGTTTATAGCTGGTCTTGTTCAAGAGTATGTCCGGGAAGCTTCCGTAGTTGGACTTTATCCGTCCGTCTTCTACATAAGCCGAGAAATCAAGAATGAGTACTAGCTGTAAGGACTTACTTGCAGTGTATCGTGATTTTCCAGTCTCTCTTCGATGGCTTGTTATTACGTTCCCTTGCAATGTTGCAACCCTTCAGTTCTTCCTTGTCTCCAAGTGAGACCACAAGTGGTCAGGTCCCACGCAATCCAGTCTTGATGAGATCAATTCAACTGTACACTAATTCACAATAGTGGAAAGAACTTATTATTAAAACTCAGCTAGCTAAACGACTCATCTCTCCGGTCCTCCTCCGTGAGAGTTGGTCGTGACTTATCCTTCACTGTAAGAAGTATTTGGAAAGAGTAAGTGAGGGTACATTACGTAGTCCCTTCTTAAAATGATTCACTGATCCCGCTCCACTTGGGATCCCTTCTTCCTTTATTAATTAACCAATCAGTGGTTGATCTTGGGTCGCACAATAGATTATGCACGCCTTCATTTCCACTTCCTTCCGGGCTCAGTTCCGAATTTGCTAATTGGGAAAGTGTCGGAAGGTGGCGAGCCTTTTCCATTGGTCACCTCTCTTTGGTTGCCTCATCCCTCTCTGGGACTTGGCTAGAAGAAGGGTCCGCTTGGGCGTGGTCAATTTTCCAATACGATCGACCAGATGTGGCATAGCCAAGAACAATGCAAGCATTGTCTTAAAGGCCGAGTGCGCACGTATGGTCATTGCATGTGTAGTACGTATGGGTTTTCGGTTGCAGTAAATATTTGTACTCAATGCTTCACGCATATCTGATATTCGTTTCGAATCTACTTTGGGGTTCTCCCGGCAGTAAACCCATTAGGTTCTACTGCACTGGGAGTATGAGCACGTTCCGCTAGAGTTTTCCAGATGTTTTATGACACTAGTACAAATAATTATGAGCAGGAAAGTTTTGAAGTCTTAAATACAATTTTCATGACATTACTTGTCAGATATTTTATTGCCTTACTAAACGGAGTCTCTTATTCTCAAACACAGATGTTTAATGACTTGTTTTGCTATTTGTTTTATGATATCAATGCCAGATGTTAATATAAATGTTAAATGTAAAATAAAAGTCTAAAAATAATCTGTACATGAATAGAAAATAATAAACTAAGTAGAATAAAAATCCAATTTATAAAGAATTCTATTTAAAAAAAGGTATAATTTAAAATAGTCTCGAAAATCCTGAAAATACGTGCCAAAATCTATAAATATAATTATCGATTAATGAAATTATATTGCTTACAATTAGATACAAAGACTTTAAATGTATTTGAATAGTAAATTAACATGAAATAGAATATGGAATTGAATTATAAAATATTTTATACATATTTACATACATGCACACATAGATACACACGCCACACAAACATGTATATTTATATATATTAAAATCCTCTCAAATATTATATGTAAGGTATTACAGCATCATTTAGCCTCTACAACATAATAAGAAAATGAAATTTTTTAAATGAAAAAGGAAGCGATAATTCTATAGTATGCAGTTATTCACAAATGAGACTCAATAATTTATGTTTATTGGAATTACCCATTCTTATACGAGAGATACAAATGTAAAAAGTACAGATTAAAAATAAAGATACACAGCGCTTCTCGATCAATGAATATGAGAAAACTTATTACGTAGCTTAAAAACCATTGTAGTCAGAGAAGACATTTTAGTAAATAGTCAATAAAAGTTACTAATCAAATTACTGTATATAGTTGGTTGGGTTATCAAATTTTTTTCGCATGAATCCGAGACATAATGATGCACTAACACAACACATTTAAATTATTTTTGTGAGTCGATCCAAATGACTCAATAATATGTATAATATACGGCTTTAACTGAGGGGGGAATGGAAAATTTTGTTGTTATATTTTATTATATGCCATAAATAAAGCCAGATCATACCAGTAATACTTAATTAAATCGTGATTACATGTTTTTGAAAACTATATATGTATAATTAAAGTAAATGTGATTAAGAATTATGAAGAATTACTAAGGAGACATTGCATGAAAATATTTCATTAAATTAATCAAAACTATAACAAAGACTTGGATCGTTTTCTGTATGTATTTATGTATGTAGAAGAGGCTTAACTTATTTATAAACAATTTAGTTTCAGTAATGACACGTTTAAAAAAACTCAAAGCAAGTAGAGAAACAGTTAATTAATGTTCCTGATTTTAATATTCATATTCGATTTTCTGGCTTGAAGGGGTAATGTTCGATAGTTCAAATTAATTTGTTACCTGCTTTAGTGGATGCTTGGGTAAGGACTTAAGTGGAAGAACTGTACAGATATAGTGATCGTAGACTTCGTTAAATATGGTTTATTATGGTTTATTGACAATTTCATTATTAATGAATTGACTTCACTTCTAATACGAAAGTGTGAACTATGTTCAGTTACAACAATGCAATTGCTCCTTGTTACTGATGTCGATGTTGTGGCTGATATTGTAAGGATTAGCAAAGAATTGTGCACAGTCTTTGAAAAGGAGTATGACTTGTAAAATACTGATCTTGTAAGAATTAGTAATGAATTCGGAATGAATTAAAATAGTATAGCTTATGCTATTCTTACGCACATCGATACATTTGCCTTGACTAGATTCTGTGATGAATAGTTACCATCAAAACAGACTACTGGTATACCATCGTGATAAGGAGTACTTCGATACTATACTTCTTCTAGTTCAAAATGTTCTTGAAATGCAATCAACACCCTTGACTGCTTGTTAACTGATGCGTACTGGAGAATGTCGTGTTTTCCTTCTGTAATGGCTTCACTGAGAGAGCGCCCCTGTTTCTTCCATGGCGTCTCTACTAAGCCAGAAATCGTGTCTCGACGCGTGATCGCTTTATATATCTACGCGACAGCTTAGTTAACTGAAAACAATGGATAGGCGTTGCTATTCGGAGACTAGATACACATTCTAGGACGTTGGACGAACTTTGGAACGTTGGAGTATTCCGGGAAAGTAAAGCTTTAAAAGGTTAGAGAATTCCAAGAAACATAATGTTTACAATATTATAATAATATTACATTAAATTATTATACTAATAATACAAAATAATATTATTTTATAGATTATTGAATATCTACGATTTTTGTTAGAAAATAAAGCATGGGATACTCATAAATTAGCGTTAGAAACGAATGAATAATGGAAATCTTATAATGTCCACATTGTAAGGATCAGTTGTAGCAAAAGTATATTAAATTTTTTTAATAGCAAAATATTATAGGAAAAAAATTTATTTAATCACATATTTTAAAATGAAAATATTACATATGAGTAAGATATATAGAAATGCATTTTTAATTGAAATATGCATTATTGAGCAGTGTTTACTATTTTGAGACTACTTTATATTGATTAATAAATAGTTTTATAGTATTGGTAAATAAGTAGATTCTAGTCTATATTTATCTTTATTTTTCCAGCTTAATATAGAAATATGTGGTGACGGTAAAATCCTTCGTAAGGACTGTATAAGTTGAATTGTATCTACCAATTCTGCAATAGTAAATAAAATGTACAGTTTAGACATAATATATCATAAGTAGTTATATATTAATACATATTTATACACCTTTTATATAATTTATAATGAACTTTATTGATAAGCTATATGTATACAGATACATATTCGGATGATTCAAAGGATTAATTTCTACAAACTATATATACATATAAATTTGATTAGCATTAAAATATTTTATAAGTATTCAATAGTTAAATATCTTAATTTTAGAATATTATTGTTGTTTAATGATAATTATTTTAATGCTACTTTCTTAAATTGTTATGAATTAATTTTGTTTATATTAACAATACTGTAAAGTGCTACAAATTCAATATTATCATATATTTGTATTACACATTGACGATTTTATTTATAACGTTGGCGTCTATTACAAATTTTTAAACTATTATAAATTTTGAATAACATGAAAAATAAAATTTTTAGTATATAACAGTCAGAGCATAGAATAGTACTGAAACCCAATGTGTAATAAAAAAAATTATTGCATCTTTTATATAAAATTGATAATGGAACATTACACTACTTCCGTTTTAATAACATTCTAAATTTTTTTTTTTGTATTTGTTTCGTATTGTTATCATACTGTTATAATATATACAGATAAGTCTGTATTATATGACGTCATATATTGTAACTACTGTAAATGTGATTATTTGTGATAAGTAGAAGCTTATTGTGATTGTATAAAACCCATATTGCACTTATCAATATTTTATAACTCTTCATATAATTACATATTATAAAATATTTAAAAATATCTCATTTAAATAAACACATGACTTAAGTTAGATAACTTAAACTATAAATAAATAAAAAACAATATTTTAGTGTCAAGTGAAAATTTAATACTCTACCAACTGTAGTATTGGACTATGTAAAAATTAAATATTTCCTTCTTAAAGTAAAAAAAGTAAGATGTATAATCTATAAATCTAGAAAATAGCATTAGTCAGTCTTATAGTTTTTAAACATAAGTATTGGGAACACAAAAAGGTTTTCCATTTTATAAAATTGATATTTTTAATATAAAATTTCGGCATATAAAAATTTTTAAACCATTTATTTACTTACATCCTTATCTTATATTTTTTGTACATCTAATTTAATGTTATTGTAATTGCTTAACAATTTATATTGCATTTTTGTGCATCTAATATATTATTTTAATAAAACAAATAGAAAATTTCAAACCTACATATATAAACCGAAATCTTTATTTAATATACTTCACATATTCTATATAATATATATGTTTTTCTACTTTTCATGATTGTATGAATAATATAAATAAGAATAAGTATTAAAGAGTTTATTATAAAGTAGCTATTTAAAACAATAAATTAATTTAATAATGTTCATTATTAAACATATTGTACAAAATGCAACTCGTCGTTCCGACTATTATTCCGACTATTATTGATATATTCATAATTATAAATATCTATTTAAATTTTTTGTATTTAGTATATTGACAATTTTACTTCGTTAGTAATATACATTAATATTAAAGAATATAAATAATTTTTCATTATATATTATTATTCCTTTGTGAACCAAGATATTTTTTAGTAAACTATTCGATTCAAAATTTAATAATTATATATTATTAAATTAATATAATCCTAATTGTAAATACATCTTTTATTTATTATTTATAATAATATTGGGAAAAAAATATATATTATTTTTCATTTAGAATACAATCAAATACAAAAATTGAAAGCTCGTTGGAAATCTAGTTTTTATTCAAATAATAAATTTTATATGAATAAATATTAAATTGGGTATTTCTTGTTTCTATTTAAATACTGTACAAAATGTCGTTCCGACTTGTTTTATCAAGGCCGGTTCGACGGATACAATTTGATGCCGTTGACAACTCAGAGACCACGGGTGTTGTGTGGTAGCGATGACAGGTCACAAGTGGAAGGGATATTATAATAATACAATAAAGATATGGCTGAAGTATATGCTATTTATTCTATTATTTATTAATGACAAGGTTGACTAGTATTACTATTATTACTTGTAGAACTAAATTCTTGGATTGAAGTGATGTGTTGCGGAGACAACTGTACAATAATCTATGCAGCTTGATTGTTGAATACGAATGGCAAATGGCGCCCAGTTTCGTTCGACAACACTAACGCCTTTTGAACGAGCACGTGTATGGTTGAGGTTATGAATGCAGCTTTATGATTGAAACATATCGCAAAGTGGCGCGAAACTGGATTGTCGACACTTGCGCTGGGTTTTGCTTACTTTCGTAAGCTTCCGAACTTGAACTAAGGTGAGGGTTACTAAAATGAGACGCCCCTGGCGTCTGATTTGACGACGCGTACTGGAATTTATTCCGCACTGTCGTTTTAAGAGTAGCTTCCTCGTTCTTAGTACTTGTCGATATAATACCCTGAATCTCAATATATATAATTATTGTAGTAGATACTACTTACAAAAAGTAATCGTTGACTCATCTTCGGACTTTGATAGGCGAATTGTCGTAGCTCCCTTGGAACAAGTAATTACGGTTTCTTGAACAGCGGTAGTGGACATACGGGTTTATGTAATAGTTCTTCCGGGGCAGTAACAGTGTTAATGGACAAACCGAAGAAGTGTAAGTCGTTCCCGAAATAGCGCTAAATGGACTTTCACTAAACTTAATTGAGTATGAAATATCTGAAGGGTTTAATATATTGAGAGAGTATTACTAAAAGAGAGATATCAAAAAAGAGTATTATCACGAAAATAATACTAAAGAAAAACTATCAAGAGTAAATATCAAGACAGTTAAATATCACGAGTGATAAGGATTAAGAGAGTTAAGTATCAAGAGTAAATAAGTATTAAAAATTGCGCCCCTTACATACATTTGCTGACCATGAATTTGACGTGAACCCCTACCCTTATTTTTTGTCCAATCAGAGACTCCTCTCTTATAGTGCGAGGGCAGCGCCTCTTTTGGCTTCGGAGTTAATTAAGGGCCTAGTCGTCTTTGGGTCTTCATGATGAGCAGATCTCTCGTTGCTGCTGTCGCATGCGGCAGCATGTAGGCAGCAGAAGGGGGGGGGGAGAATTGTTGACACATCTGGTGACAGCATTGCAACTTGTTGACAGCGGGAAGGGAAGGAAGGTCCGTATGCAGTAATGCTTGATGTAGCTACCGAGCGGAACAAAAATGCAGATGTCTAAACTATAGGTTTTCCCGTGTTTATGGTATTGTTTTTCCAGATGTTTTATGGACTTAGTGCTTGATAATTTTGAGCAAGCGAAGTTTTGAAATCCAAATACAAATTTTACGATGTTACTTGCTAGATGTTTTATTGCACTGACAAAAAAAGGGGAAAATGTTCTCGCATTCTCGAACACATATTAAAGATATAATAATTAGTTATAGATATTTTTATATAATATTAATTACATTAATTAATATATAATTTTATTATGATATTTTTTTAGGAATAAGTTATTCAAAGCTTATGTTACGGATTGAAAAGTTGAAAAGCGGAATACAAAAGTGGGAGAGGTATGAGGGTGCGATTCAGTTCCTTAAAAAAAAACAATAGCCAATGAACCTTCCAAACTATGCCCTATTGACGTCACGACCAATATCGTCATAGTAAGAAACACCGGCGCTTAAGGACTAGCGCGATAATATTTAAGGGCTGCGCTTCATGCGCAGCAATCTGTCTTTTCTCAGTCTAGTAACAATTACACAGTCATTATAACAAGCACACTATTCATCTTCAAGCTTCTTTCTACAGTCATCACTCACTATAGCGGTAGACGTGTGTAATAATCAACTAGTAAACAATGTAACAAACAAATAGTGATGCCTCATTATCAAAATCCGTTAACTAAACTTAAACTAATAACGCGCTTAATAATCGAAATCATACTACACATATTAACGGATCACACCGACGACTAAGGCAGCAGAAAAACGGCCCCCTTTAGAAAGTTTCGATACGACAGAAGCAGCTCTTACGCATCTACACTAAAGCAGTAGCGACTTATTTCGCTTAAACGACTTCGGTACAACAGCGGCGGCTCTGACGCATACTACGCCTGAGGCAGCTCTCACACACACACACACCGACGACTTCGGTACAATAGCGGCGGCTCTGACGCTTACTACAACTGTATCGACTCATCATACCACGGAAAGGATGCACACTCCTGAACACGTAACACAATTGAAGAAACTTCCTCTATTTTATTCACTTGCACCTTCATTCATATACTTCATGATCATTAATTATTTATTATATTGTTATATTTAATAAAAGGAAAGACAAGAAACATTACAAATAGTATTGAATTAATTGCATTGCCCCTTCCACTTGCCAGCAACACCTCCACCCACCATCAATAGGAGGTTTTTAGTCTGATCCCAGACAACTTATATTAAACTTTACTGAATTATATATTAATATACATTGATTACATTACAATATTATTTACTAAAAATACAAAATAAGAATATAATCTGAAACTTTGAATTTCATATAGATGTAAATATAAAGTATAAACAACAATTTTGTTTAGTATAAATATTCTCCAATATTATAAAAAATAAAATAAACTCTAAAATAAGTTAAAAGAGAAATAATAATTTTTTTTCAAACAAATATTGTGTAAGTATTTTAAGTACGTTGTTAAAAGTATATTACTTTTTTGAAGAGTGTCTGACTGCTTTCCATAAGGTTTACACATCGCTGGTCTGATACAAGATTTCATTCGTGTCATATTTTTCATAATTTCAGTAAAAGATCTAATAATTTTTTCTTGCCCTTAAAAATAAAATGTATATTATATCATATATATATTTTTTTGTAATATTCATACAATTTTAATATTTTTATATTATATTTTATAATATGAAAATTATATTACATCATACAGTAATTTAATATTATTTTTATTTAAAATTTTGATACTATAATATATTTTAATTTTCATGAAACATATATTTTTTGGGGTTTAATACTTTTTTGTTTTCTTGTATAGATCACTCAAGATCGGTCAAGATTTGTTTGGATTAATTGTAGAAATTTGTAATAGAATATGCAATACAATATAAAATGAATTAAATTAATAAAACACGAGGAACATGTTATTTGAGCGTTAATATTTTATTAATTAATTTTTTACAATATATAGAATGGTAAGTTTAATTAGGCCAACACATATAAAAAATATTACAAGTAAAATGAGAAACGGGCATTGATTAAATGATATTGTGAAGTTAATAAGGACATAATAATAGTAATCAGTGTGTAATTTATATATATTAATAAAAGAGCTATATTTACGAAGGGGTTTATAGCATAGGAAAGGATTAAAAATAGTAAATTCAGGATAGCGATTTTTCTATTTTTATATTTTAGGATTATGTTACGATTTTTTATGCATCGTTGATACGTTATTACTTATTTAAGGACTTTTATGAAGCGGTAGTTAAGCATCTATATTAATACATCCGATAGAATATTTATAATATATTTCATTTTTTATAGCTTTGGAGCTTTTTAAATTTGAGACGTAGACAGAGACAGTAGAAAAGAAATTTAGAGGATGGAAAATAGATAATAGCGGTAGGATAAACTTATTTCTAAAGTAAATATGACAAAATTAATTAATACGTACGTAGTACGTATTAGTAATACGGTACGTAATACAATTGCATACACGATAGTATCAATTTAAATGTAGGGCAACTTAGAGATTATTCGGTTCAATAATTGGCAATTACAATTATTTACGATATATATTTACGCTTATATGTTTGTTTCAATTATAGATCTAGTGATGTTGATAATAATATATAAAAATTTGAATTTACTACCATGTAATTATACATATTTCTTCTAGTAATGTATATAACAAAATGATGAATACAATTAATCAAGTCTTTATTTAATCACATCATTTATATGCAAAGTGTTCTGTAGCAGCCATTTCTTTATTCCGTTCTAAAACGGAAATAAGCCGTGACGTAAAATTGAATTATAATTTCAAAAACAAATATGTAATATAATTTTCAATTTTCATTAAATGTTCTTTCATAAACATTTTAAATAATTACAATATTATTATTGTATAAAACTTAAGCTTTATTTTTTAATATCATTTAAATTTATTTTTGTGGTAATATTTTTAAAAATTTTTAAAAGATAAAAATATTTCAAAATACCGTCACATATTGTGGTAGAATTCAAGCTTTTAATTTCCGTATCTATTGACCAAACTCCATTATGTATTGATAATAATTCTTTTCCTGAAATTTCTAAATTTTTAACCTTGACCAGGTTTTCATAACTTTCTGAATTAATGCGTAAAAAGTCTGTTAATCTATATGATTCAGAAGATGGTAAAACTATTAATGAAGAATCGAAAAGTTTTGTATTAACATTTTTTATATTAGAAGATTGATTGTTTAACAGCAAATTATTAGTATTCCTAGTTTCAGATGAATCAGATAACGATTTTTGAATACGTGATGAAATTGGTGTATTTAATATCTAGATAATTAGAATTGAAATTTAAAAGTTATATAATAATAAGAAATATTTAATAGTATAATATATATATAAACTTGCCATTTGCAAATCTGAATTATGAAATAAATTTGAATCAATTTCACATTTTTGAGTATAAATCAATCCCATACTAGCTGCTTTTTGAGATAATTCAAATTGAATTTTATTATATCGACAGTCAGGATTTTGACAGTTTTGAACTATTTCAATAATAAATTCTTTTTCCATCCCAAAAGACTCTTTTCCAACTGTAAAATTGTCCATAACTGCTTTAATCGTATTCTCAAGACTTAAATGTATTCCACGAGGACCATGCAAATGCTTCATCATTATTGCATTTGCAAATTATTCATAAGGAATTATTAATTTGCCATTTTCTCTAAGTATTAACCTACCTTGATCGTTCAAACTTATCTTACTGACTAACGTTCTGAAAGATAGAGTTAAAAATACAAAATTAAACAATCGTAACATTTATAATAGTGACTACTGAGCACTTTAAATGTTACGTGATGAAATTAAAACTTTACGAAAAATGGTATTTATGTAGTAAATATCAATAATTTTACTTGTATATTAATTTATTTGCAATGTTTTAATAACGATTCATTTCGACAGTACAAATATAAATTGTTTTGTTTTAAAATTAGTAGATGTGAACAACTCACAAAAAATATATTATCTTAAATAGAGAGGAAAAAAGATCTTTACCTTTTAATAATATATTAAAAGGGCAAATACCTGTTTATGTATAGTTCTTAGTAAATATTTTTGCATAAACGGGATAACTTAATATGTGGTTATAAACTCTTGTAACGATATGCATAATTAGTTAAATTGAAAGAGATATACGATGAGAAGGAAGTATAATAAAAATGAATGGTTTCAAACTTAAGCTAATTCAATTAACTAGTTTATAAAATAAGATTTTTATGAGAAACAATACAAAAGAAAAATAAATGATTTTTAAAGTACTTTTTAATTATAAAATGAAATAGTATTTATGCATATAAGTTGTTTAAAAAAAAGTTTTAAATTAATATTTATTATAAAATTAATTTTTAATTTTTCTAATAACATTTTTGAATTATATTACTTCTTGCTATAACAAAAAATAGTTTTAAAGAAATAAAAATTCAAAGATGAAACTGTTAGATTTAACTATATGAACTATTCGGGCCTATTACCTGTCTTTTATACTGTCTCTTATAAATTTATTACATATTATAAAGATCTAGTTATTATAAATTAAGTAAATATAAATGGTTTTTTAATGTCAATGTGATTAAAATTTTGAATACCTTTGAGTAATACAAATCAATATTTTTGTTATATATTTTTTATATATATTCACAGTATAATGGCTATAGAAATGTGATATATTGTAAAAAAGATTAAAAAAGATAAATATTTTTTCAAAACTGTAATATATTGAAGGTCGGTATTTAAACATTACAAATATGTAATTTTTTAAATACATATAAATAAATTTTTCCTTTAGGATAAGATTAACATTTATGATGTTGATATAAAGACAAAAAATTTAAAAAATATATTAACTATGTAAATGTATTAAGCGTGTATTTATTATTTAATAAAGAACCGTTAATTAAATTTAAACTTGATTAAGAGTGTATTTATAAACATTTTAAAAAGTATTATGATATTTCAATTTTTTAAGTTTTAACAAGAATATTCAAATGTATATATTTCAATGCTTAATTTATTATGTTATTGCATCATCTTTGTGCATAATTTGTAATTATATAAATATATAACTTTAATTTGATCTAATTTAATGCCATTATATTTTATTATTATATACTTTCTTTTTGCTTACAACAGTATATAATTTATATGTATACTTCCATTATTTTTAACAGGAGTCTTTAATAATGTTAATTATTTTTAAACTTACTATTTTATGAAACTTATATGACTAATAAATCTCAATGTTAAATCCATTGTGTGTGTGTTTTTTTTTAATAAAATAATATTATCATGATCGATTAATAAAATTTGTTCATTAATTTTAAACGAAATAATATCTTTTTTCTTATTTTCTAATCGCATAAAAATACGTTAAACTTTTTAGAAAATATTTGTTCACCAAGTGCCGTATTTCATTTGTATTATTGTATCATGTACAATGTTGAGTACTTTTACCAACTTTGATAGTAAACTATCTTAGAATGAAAAATGAAAATTTTGTTTACAAGAAATTACATTCTGATAAATGATTACAGTTTGTGGTAAGTTTGAGTCGTATGTATACTGAAATCTATTTTAAATTTCGTGTAATATAGTAAAACTCGATCTTAAACTCTGATAGAATTTGAAAACTAAAAACTATAAAATAAATTTTGTAATAAATCTAGATGCTATTTTGTAACTTAAGCTATTCAATTCAATTATTTAAGTCATATACTTATCAAATACTATGCTAAATATATAGATTTAATTAAAAATAAAAAAAAATTTTTTTATGAAATAACATGTTTTAGAAAATAATTATGAGTTACCTATATTTTAACTATTTTATTTAATAATTTCTATATATTCAAAAAGCTCATACAATTTTCTTATAGAATATAAACTTGTATTTTCTAAATCTTGATCGGAACAAAATTTTGAATGTAATCAACTATAGTGATAAAAAAAATAAAATCTGTTAGCTTTAAAATTATATTATATAATTCTAAAATAAAAAATTGAAATAAGTTTTAACAAATTAATTTGATAATAAATATTGACATTTTCATTCAGAACGTAAAGAGAACGTTTTATTTCCTAGTTTTTTATATTTCAAACTTTATAACTGGATTAAAATTTTATTATATAACTTTTTAAACAACAATTTAAAAATATATAATTCGAAGCAAAACATTTACAATTATAATTAAAAAAAACGTACTTTGTCACCTTTAATAGATTGAAATTCTATGATATTAAGTAATAGTACTGTTCGGATTTAAAGGGTTAGCTTATGGCTCGAACTGCCAATTCAATAGTTCAGTGGATTAGTCTCTCGGCAGGATAATTTTAAAGGAAATCAATAACGGACAAGGCTGAAAAATATAATATATTTATTTTAAA